ATAATAGCAACAACTTGGAATGACTTACTCATATTCATCTCCTCAACATGAATTCATGCAAAATGAATTGAAACTCTTGTACTTAACTAATCAATGTCCTTGAATCGACTATCATGAAGTCAAAAAATCAATCAACTATGAATTTTTTTCATACTAGCATTATCAACTCATAATTCTTTAGCACTATTAACAGAACTATATACATCATAAAGTGAATTATCCAAGCTATTCAAGATATAATTTTTACATGAAATCGTTGTGCTTTCATGTATTAACAACTATCATAATAATGGGATCAGACTCCTCACCTAACAACTTTGATGTATCTCTTGTCAAGAATTTTACCATGTTCAATTTGGTAAAATAAAAAACCATATTTTGATTTTTATCTTTTTAAATTTCCAAAATTGAAATTCTCAAGTGGGTCATTATGCATTACAAAAGATGATGGTATAATCCTCCATGCCAAAACACTACTTGTTAAAGCAACATTCTCTTGAGCATAACTCATATTTTGCTACAATAATAACCAAAAATAATTGGATTATTCTTTATATAATAATACATAAATAAATAATCTAATTAACAAAAGTCCAACTAAACTAAAATTAAAAGTTGAGAATTACATATAAAAGCCAAGAATTATATATATTCCAACTATATAGATAAAATAAATACAAATTTTAGAACAATGTAGATAAAGTAATTGTTGAATTTTGTATGAAAAAGAAGAAGAAAAAAATAAAAAACATTCTTATCAAGGACTATATATTTTATCTTTAAAACTAAATTGTCCATCAATTTGTGCAAAATATCTAAACACAAATAGTTTCTCATGATTCAAACAACAATACCTCAAATAGATGAATATCTTATCTAAGCTTACAAAGTAGAAAAATGACATGACTTTTTCTCTACAATAGTCGAACCAAAAGCTAAAACTAAATAATAGGCTAAAAAGAAGAAGAATAATACAACAAACAACTAAAAAATAAATTAAATGGTATAATATTTTCTCTATTTTCTTGTTTATGACTAAAGTCCTCCTATCCAATGTTCATATAGGAGATTTGGGATTAAAATTGTTGCTAGAATTAATTCAATTTAGTAGATCGAATTCCTGTCACTTTAAACAATTAAAGTCTGGCTCTTTTTTTTTTCTTAACATAAAAACTTAAAAATAATTTTTTAATGTTTTAAAAAAAATAAAAAATCATCCATGAATGAAAATCTAATCAAACAATGTATTAAAACTAAGGTAGTGTTTGATATGTTGAACAATAATGGATCAAACATGATAATTTTTTTGTGAAGTTGTTTGGTGCATTTTGGACAATACAAAAATTAATTTTTTTTTCTAGTCCAAGGTTGTTCTAGTGATGAAATTTGTGTCCTATTAAACAGACTAAAATAAGGTTGTTTAATTCTCTATGCAAAAGTTAACTTGGGTTAATACTAGTCAACTTAAGGATAAAAATAAATATAATCGTAGTTTTAAAACCCAATTGTGGCGTTAAAATAGGGTAAAGTTTAAGTCACACGTTAGGTTGACTATTAACCTAGGTCAATATAAGAATAAAAATAGTCATTATCATAGTTTTAAAACTTGAATTGAGGGAAGACATGACTCAGGTCATAGGTTGGGTTAAATATTAACTCCAGTCAACATAAAGATAAAAATGATTATTTTAATAATTTTAAAATCTGACTCGAGAGTCGATCTTGAGCAAGACCCAAATCAGGTTGACCATTAACCTGGGTCAATATAAAGATAAAAATGATTATTATTATAGTTTTAAAATACGACTCAAGTGTAAATTCAGGAAAAGGCTCGGGTCGTAGGTCGGGTTGACTATTGACCGGGTCAATGTAAGAATAAAAATGATTATTATCATAATTTTAAAATCTAACTTGAAGGTTAACCATTGACTTGGGTCAACTTAAGAATAAAAGTGATTATTATCATAGTTAAAACCTGACTCAAGGGTCAACTCGGGATAACGTTCAGGTCATGGGTAGGGTTGGCCATTGATTTGGGTCAATATAAGGATAAAAATAAATATTATCAAAATTTTAAAACCCAACTTGGAAACCAAGTTGGAGCCAAGTCCGAGTCTGGTTGATCATTAACCCGAGTCAATATAAGGATAAAAAGTGATTAATATTGTATTTTTAAAACTTGACTCGAGGATCAATCTAATGCAAGGCCTGAGTCACGAATCAGGTTGACCATTGATCCAAGTCAACATAAAGATAAAAATGGTTATTATCATAATTTTGAAATCTGAATAAAGGATCGACTTGGGGCAAGGTCAAGATCACGAATCGAGATGATTAACCCGGATTGACTCAAGACAATATAAGAATAAAAATGGATGTTATCATAATCTTAAAAATCAACTTGAAAGTTTACTTGGGGCAAGGCCTAAGATACAAGTTAGGAGGGTTAACTCGAGTTGATCAAGGTCAGAAGTTAGGAGGGTCAACCCAAGTTAATCGAAATTAAACAAAAAATCATAACAGCCTTATTTTGATGAAAAAGATTAAAAAAAAAATCCAAATCCATATTTTATTTCAGGTCAACCGGGTCACAGGTTAACTTAAGTTTTTGACCGAGTGAAGTCAGATCAACCTTTCCTCTATTTTTTCTTACACTCATATTGGTCCAAATCTCAATTTGATTGGGTCTTGTCCGGTGTCTACAAAACACAAAATAAAATAAAGTGTTCATTCTAAAGCACTCCAAACACAAGACATAATAGTTATTTGTCATATATCTTGTCTAGCAAATCATTTTTTATCTAATATATAATATCTAATATATCAAATATTATCTAATAAATTTAATAAATCTAGATAAATAAATAATTTTAAACTAATAAAAAATAATTTTTTATATTAAAAAATTATTTAACTCAAATAACAATCATAACCCGAGTAGGGAATGCATATGTTTTTAACAAAAACAAGTTGACATTGTTTAGTTCCTCTCTCCTAAGGATCCATTTTTAACTTTTGCACAATTATATAAGTCATTAGAAATGCATATAACATTTCAATATGGGTTTAAAGCTTTTATATTTAAAAATTTATGAAACAATATTTTTTTAAATTAATTTTTTTATTAATCTGAAATTAATTTTATACATATTAATAGTTCATGTTACAAATAAAAATAATTTTAAATAACTCTTGACCTAAAATATTATTTAAAAGTTAACTCAATTTTTAATTTGATCTCGAGTGTAATCATAGACGATGTCATAACTAATTTACCAACAAAAAGAGTTTTGAATCAATGTGTTTTAACTTCAATCTTGAATGCGACGTGATGGTGTTGGTGTTATTTCCAACTAGAGTGGTATATAACAATAAAAGTATGAGTTTTCATTAAATAAAAAATAATTAAATAAAATAATTAAAAAATAAAAAATAAAAACTTTAATAATTAAGTTTGTAGATGGTTTATTCTCAATTTTTTATATTATTCTATGTTCTTATACTGATTCAAGTTGGAATAAGTTCACTAATATTAATCTATGTATAAAATTAAAAGAGGAAAGAATTGTATTAATTGATGGGTTTAAATATATACATAGATAAAAAGAAAGAAAAACATGGAGGTAAATTAAAATACATTATAATAAAAAAAAACAATTTAATTTATCACGCGACCATGAATCCATGATATCTTTGGTTTTTATTATATGGTACTCACCCTCCAATCCATGGAGATTTGAAATAAATCTCTCTGAACTTGCCTGCCACTAGAATTCTTGATATTTGCGTTCTTTATAAAATGTGTCGACATCAATTTTTGAGTTATTTGAATTAGAATTTAAGCAAAGCAACTCAATGACAATAAAATACTAGATTTGGCCCACACCTTCCATTAGCAGAGGTGTTAAAAACCAACAAATATTATATAAAATTAGATAATATAAATATAATAAACAATAAATCAAAAGATCTAAAAAATAAATATTATAAATTAAATAGCATATTAAAATTTTTGAAATTCAGTCAATTTGATCCAATTTATACATTCTTTACTTTTAGTTCACATCTATGAAAATTAGCTATACATTTGTAAAATTTACATAAAAATTAGTTTAATATGATATATTTAATTTATCGAATTCAAAAAAATCGAATGAATTGAGTTTATAATTTGTAAAATAGTATAAGTTGGATTAAATATAATTATAAGTTTAAATTAAACAATTATATCCATAAACCCCTTAATTATTAAAAAGAACTATAATTTAAAAAAAAAATCTTTATAAAGCTAATATGAGAGAATTTTTTTTTTTTAAAAAAAAAAGAAGTTGAGATCTTCAATTAATTTATTTGCCTCTATGATGATTCCGTGAATTCATAATATAATTGAAATATTCATGCATAGACCAGGTATTACGTCAGCTGTGCTGGGGATAATAACGACCACCAGAATCTAATTGTCGGCCACGAAGACATACCATGCTATTAATTACTATAAATCGTTCAAGGTTCAAACAAGAATTAGTTCATTGATTACCCGCAGCTGACCATGAGAAAGTGTTGTCAATTTTTTCACGATAAACTCTATGATACACCCTTTATTGGTCCCTTTTTTCGGAAATAATTTAAAAAAAATTATTTTTTATTTTAAATTAATATTTTTATATTATTTTTACATACTTACTTCTATCAAAAAATAATTTTTTTAAATAAAAAATATTATTTTAATATATTTTTAAATAAAAAACTTTTTCTATATTCCTCGGCAAACATTAATGCCATCTTGAAATTGTTTGTCGTGAGTTAGAGGAACCACGTCAGAGAATCATTCTAGAGGCTACAACTTCCTCAGGACATACAGAATGGTCTCAACTGAACAAAATTTTGCCACTCTCCACAGACTGCTCCAGGCTTGAAAACACCCACTGGAAGTGCTGACAAGATGATCGTGCCAAGGCCCGCATGGCAATCAGTGAGCCACAGAAGGAAGATTGTAACAATGTTATAAAAGTTGAATGGAAGGAACAATCTTCTTTGCATCATTACAGAAAATAAATTTTACAAGGTAGGAAATACGAAGGACTACCTCTATGAATCAAATCCTTTATATTAAACACTTACAATTTCATGGATGAGAAGAAAAAAGGAAAGAGCATAGAAAACAAAAAAGGTGAGTAACCTCAGTGTCTCAAAACCGAACCTCCGTCTTCCGCACTGATGAAATATGGACTTGTGAGAGAACCACGCGAAACAAGGCCAAACAATTCTGCACCCAAGGTGGTCACCAGTCAACACCTTTCTATCCTTCATGAAGGTAAACTCAGTTTACACCAGTCAGAGCTCTCAACCAGCTGCAGTGGCCCAAGGGCTTGTCCCACTGGCAATGGCAACAGATGAGATGAACTTCGAGACAAGCACAGCTTCATTGCTTACAACCTTAGAGGTCGCCACATCTTCCAAGCGCTTCCAAGTTAAATCTCTTTTCTCCCGTGTCTCCATCTGTTTCACTTCATCTTCTTCAAATTTGACCAAGGATTCATCAAAAATTTCTTGATCAGCGTCTGAGAATATCTTCTTGACATTCAGGGTCAAACTCTGAACAGCTTGGTTCCAATGCCCCCTTGTGTTTCTCTCCAAAGCTGGGAAGATTATAGGCAGTATCACTCTGCGATTCTGCGTGATCAAATTTCTTATGTGATCATTGTTCCACAAAAACAAGGCACGTTCTGCAACCTGCCACAATACCAGATTAAGATAATCCATATGAACAACCAAAGTTCAAATCCAAATCCTTCACATGGAGCGCAGAAATTTAGTTAATAACAGGGAAAATAATATGTAAATCCATATGATTCTATCAATATGGATTTCAGCAAGCCAGCGTAAGCTCTAAAGTGAAAATATCTACTACAATGGATGTGAAACTGACTGCACGCATGCTGGAGTGAGTCTCACTCCAGCATCCTTCATTTCTTCATATTAAAACCTCAATGTAATGCACATGCAGATTTGAGAACCGAAAAGCATGCTTATTGTGATAAAACTTCAGCAAATACATCAATGAACAAAGACAGATCATAGCAAAATCACGAGTGATTTGCACTTGGAGAAAAACCAGACAGTAGAAGCTTCCTCAAACAAGGCTAAAGGTGAACCATATTCACGGCATAAAATACTCTTTACATCCTCTATTACAATACAAATGATGAACTTTCAGCATCTAGACATTCAACAGATTTTCAGAAAAAGAAGTGCATTGGCTTTTTCTTCCAATCATTGCCCCACCTAGAAGCATAAAATTACAGTGGGAGTGCTGAACAACACATACTTGTAATGATAATGCAAATGTATAGAAATGATTTTGTCGCTTGTAAATTGTTAAAAATAAATTAGCTTCTTGGCCTCATTAAGTGTCAAATTATCTATTAGTGTTCTCGGGTAGTTCCATGAAAAAGCATCTGCAAGGTGGACACTTAAGCTAGCCTTTTCTTACTTGGACTGCTGCTGCTATAGGGAAGATTATTATGGTGATAGCATAATCACTAAGAAACATACTACTATTGAGTGGTGATGTGTGAAAGAGATGTGATATGAGGATCTGATAAAGGATATGGTGGAGAATATAGAAAGGCAACAAAGTAAATTAATATTTGATTATTTAAAAATTTTAATGTTGTATTAGTTACATGACCCATGCGATGCCATGGTTATTTTTTTTATATTAAAAAAATAAAAATCTAAAAATGTTAGTTCTTCATGTAAAGCTATATCCAAGAATCCTAGGTTTGATTGCAATACCTGACCCAAAAATAATATTTATAATATTAATAATAACATAAAACTCGCATGACCTAAGTTTAAATGAGTTTGGTTACAATACCAGATCTACTAGCCTTGGATGTAGGTCTAGCTGTAAGGTTGTGTTATAAAAGTGTGATAATTAAATAGATTAATGAAAAAGAAAAAAAACCAATAGGAAGAAAAAAACTAATGAAGAGAAAGAAGAAAATCTGAATTAACTGAGTTAACCCTTTAAATCAAGTTAACCCGGCAAATCGGGGATTCGTGTCATGAAAGTTTAATAACTAAATAAAAAAAATTAACAGGTTAACTAGGTTAAACCGTCAAACCAGGTTAACCCGTCAAGCCCAGGATATATATCATGAAAGTTTGATAATTAAATTAAAAAAATTTAATATTAACAAACTAAACTAAATGAAAAAAATTAATTAAAAAGAAAAAAAGCAAAAAATAAAATTCGGGTTAACCCATCAAACTCGGGATTCGTGTCATGAAAATCTGATAACTAAATAAAAAAATTAACATAATAAACTAAATTTAAAAAATTATTAAAACAAAAAAACAAAAACAAAAAAATTAAAAAAAAGAAGCTCAGAATATCTTAGTATATGTTGTTGTTGTTGTTGTTGTTGTTGTTGTTGTTGTTGTTGTTGTTGTTGTTGTTGTTGTTGTTGTTGTTGTTGTTAGCATGGAAAAGCTACAGTGTTTTCCCCACGCCTTTATTATATTATTATAAGTATAATTATAATATATAAGCACAGGCGTGGGGAAAGCTCTAATGTTTTCCCCACGCCTTTTAGAGTATTACTTGATGATCATTCTAGATTTTTATTATTAAATTCAGAAATATTAGCATTTATTATTTAGAAATTAAAAATTCCCAATTAATCAAATAATTAATATTATAACTTCTGCAGTAGCTGAGTTACGGTTGCAAGATTTCTGTTAAGAGTTGGATTTGTTGAATTATGTCTAAATCAGAGACACAAGTTCCTAGGCATGGCGGGGGACAGCAGGGGCACTTGTGAAAGATGAGAAGTGGAGGGCTATTGTGTTATTCATTTCATGGACTATTGGCGTGAACAAAATGTCCCCATTATGGAGTGGAACTCCCATCATAAAGACATTAGCTCAAGTTGTAAGGCCCTTGTACAGATGGATGCTTCCATAATACTCATAATGGTAAGTTAGGCTTCTCATTGATTTTATCTCAAGGGGTAATCTTATATACTTCCCATGAGCTGAGTGCACCCCTAAGTATCATCTCAGCGAGAAAAATCATGGCACTTTACACAGCCTTCTAGATTTGGATATCAAATAGCAAATTAAATACGACAATGGAGTCTTGAAAGAGCATATTGAAAGGCTCTTTCAGGTATTGAATACTTAGTCACATGAGAAGAGGATACCTATCAAAGATGCATGATAAGAAAAATATGGCAAATGACGTGGAAAAGAAAAGCTAATTCTGTTAGATCCCTTTATGATTTCACATTATTTGCACATGTTAATTCTCTATTACATGGAAAACCCAAGAGCAAACAAAGTTATCAATGGAATTGCATGTTTTTTAAACCAAGACAAATGTCTACACCTCTCTTCATCAATATCATAAACCCAACTTGTACAATTCAGTGCAGAAAAATTACCGCAACCAAGGAAGCACATAAACGCAGAAAAACACAAATCCCTTGTAAAACTCTGAAAATCCACAAATTTCTAACTAATTACGAAGTGATCACAAAGATATCAAATTTCTAACTAATTACAAAGTGATCACAAAGATATCAAACTCTCAATTTCATACACACAGATAAAAAGTGGTACAAATAACTAGGTGATAAACTACACGTGCACCTATCCAATTTGGAATTCATATATCCTCATGAAAATTATTAAAAAATCATCTAATGTGAGATGGCAAAAATAATAATTAAACAAGTTTCAGATGCAATGAAATGAAATGCAAGAATGATCAGTAATTACAAATATAATGTCAATAACGAGATGATAAATGCACTTACTAAGCAGCAGAAACAATAAAACAGTAGAAGCTAAAAAAAAGGCTTAATCTTTTATCAACAGACAAACACAAAAATAATAACCATTCTAAACCCAGTACCTGAAAATGTGAGCTGTTGAGGCAGCGACCAATTTGATGGAACAAAGGGACCATGCACCGTTGAAACTCTGCAGACTGAGTAGCCTCTAAAACTTCCTCCAACTCACCAAGAAACATAACTTCCTTGGAACTATTAGTCATGGGCCAATACTTCAACAGACCTCGGACTACAGTATCAGCCAGCTTGAAATCTTTCTCCACAAATTGAGTTATACAATATGACAGTTGCTGATGATACATTGATACACATTTTGGCTTGTGAAGTGGAATTAAGGCACGAAGAAGGAAAAGCTTGTGTTCTTCCTTCAATGGCAAAGCAAACCCATTAATAATGCTGCCCAATATCTCAAGCATTTCTGCAATCCCGTTATGCCTCTCCGTCTCGAAAATGAATATGTAAAAGATATTGTTGATAGCTTTTCTAATGAATGGTCGATGTACCATGAACTTTCCATAAATACGATGGAGTATCGTCTTCAAATACTCCCTCTCTCTTTGGTCTTCAGAATCAAATAAGTCCAGCAATCTCAACACAAATGAATGGTCAATGTATCTCTTGGCGAGCTTGGCATCAGTCTCTGATGAAGCCACAAATCTAAGCAGAAAATCATACACAATCTGAAGATGAGGCCAAGCAGGCTCCATAGCTGGTTCTTCATCTTCAGGATCAAACATTTCTAGAATCTTGTTATCATGGTTCATAGATGGAAGTGTTCTAAACAAATTGGCTGCCACCATCCTCGTAATTTCTTGCATTGCAATCTCATTGAACTTTGAAGTAACAGTTGAAATATAATCAAGAAGCTCATGCAAAGTCTGCCTCTTAATGTCCTTCTCTTTAAGATTCTTAGAAGGATCACTAAAATCAAACACAACGCAACACATATTCAACTTCTTCATAAAGAGATTATGCTTCTCCGAGTTAGGAACATCACGAAAGCTAGGCAATGCTTCATAAACCCCAGAAGTCATCAAAGGACCCAATTGAGGAGCTGACTTATTCCCTTGATTCCCCTTGCTATACGGTACCAGGCTCCCAGTGTTCACGCGTGAAGCGCCCGAGCTCGGATTCGAAGATTTGGACGAATTGGCAGAGAGCTTTGAGTTGTTAATGGAACCGGACCCATTAGATGAGTTCAAGGACGAGTGGGCATGGAGTCCACCGTCATTGTTTGAATCGTTACTGGATGCTTTTGAGGGTTTTCGAGGTAGCTTACCCAATATCTGTTTGATCATATCTTGTTGCTAAGCCAAACCCTAAGCCCTAACCCTAATCCTAATGTATTCCCAGCAAATAAAAACCAAAGCTTCCACCTTGAAAACACCAAAACTAATCCATTTTTCACAGCTAGGCAACAGAAGAATAATCAAATTTGTACATTTAAAAAAGGCTATCCATGTAAGACTCTTAAAATTCAAATTCCTACCTCAGGATTCATCAACAAAGCAGGGAAAAAAAACCCAACTGAGGAAATTTCATATACAGGGGGGAATTACTTACATTGATGACATGAACAGAGAGATCTGAGAAAACCCTAGAAATTTGTTCTGAGATTGATAAACCCACAATTTGATTTGAGAAAGAGGGGGGAAAACAACATGAACAAGATTATCAAATAAAAAAAGAGTCAAATTAAAATTTTACGACAGGAAAAAATAGGGAAGTGGGAGTTGCATTTATAAAAATAGTAAGATTTTTTTGTTCTTTGTTTCTTGCTGTGTGCCAAGTTTAGGAAAGGGTAAATTTTAGATAGCCCAAAAACATAAGAATCGAAACGCCGGACTGAACCCAGCCCGGCATGCTTAGCCGCAGCCTAACTCGGATCCAGTTTTACAATCAATTAAAAAAAAAAATTGAACGGGTGTGATTTTGTTAAAAATTTAGATTAACAATTAAAAAAGAACACATTAATTCTTTTTTTTTAAATAAATTTAGATTAATATGTTTTAGATATTTCCACGGGTTGACTCCAAAATAAATTTAATGATTTTATAATTTTATAATTTTAGTTTGTTAATAACTATTTTTAGATACTTTTCTGTCTGCTTTTCTAAATTATTTATTTTTGATGGATTTATCTTTTTCAACCTCGTCATGTATTTTGCATAGGTGGAAGAAGGATAACAATGGAACCCATTATCTATTGTCTTCGTATGAAATTGATTTATTTATTTGACTAACTTCTCCTCCCATCCAAGTCATCATATGATATTTATTTGTTACGTTGGAATCTATTATCTTATGTTTTTTTTTTTTAATGAATATTGTTGAATTTTTTGATGTTTTTTTATTTTTTTTAATGAATATTGTTGAATTTTTTGCTTCTTTTAAGCATATATTAATATTAAAACATGTCATTAGCTTGGCGTGGAGTTCATTAAACCTTTCAATAGAATTTAAATCTAAATTATTATACAATATACATGCATACCTCTAAAAAGTTATGAGGAGGATTTTTCACATTGAGTTGTTTTTTTGGATGATCAACTTTAAGCTATCATGCAACATGCTCTTTTAAGTTAATTAGGCCATTATAGTTGTCCAGACTTATTTTTATGAAAATATAGTCCTTAGAAATTAAATATTTAATATTTGTTTGGACAAAGGAAAACCTCTGCATTAATAGGGGTTGTAGTTATTCTCTTAAGTATGCTCATGTATAAACTTGTTAAGGTGAAAATGTTTGATTTTTTTATTAGATTGTCAACACAACCTGAGTAAGGTATTCTACCTAACTAATGAGTTGTTGAAGGTTTGGTTAGGTAGAAGTATTTGCGGTAACAAGTAAATTTATCCTAACAAGTAAATTTATCCTACATCTTGACCTAGATGTGTCTTGGTCATGTGCCATAAAATGACCTAGGAATATTAAATACAAGTTTTAAAAACTAGTGATTCTTTTTATCTCTTTTCCACAAATAGAATCAATGATGAAGTCCTAAAAAATCCTATTTTAGAAGTAAAATTTATATGTTGGATAATCAGTTAATCTCTTGATTCTAGCAATTTAATTTATTTTTTCTAGTTAAGATGGTTGGCAATTTGTAGTTAGTGCTTGGTAGACTAAGGTGATTAATACCATCAAAAGGTCTTTTTTTTTTTAGATTTGAGGATTCTCATATATTTAAAGTAAACATCTTTTTAGAAAAAAAGTATAATAATATTTTTTAAAAAATAAACTTTAAAAAATATATATATTACAAATATTAAGAATGAAAATATTATGAACTTGAAGCTAGAAAAATTCATCAGATATTTATATTTCATGAGTTATATATATATATATATATATATATATATATATTAATAGAAAGGAGGGGTTAGAGTATTATTTTTTTTTAATAGTAATAACAAGTAATAATATGGTTTTTTTTAAAAAAATTGTACATATAAAGGTGCAGAAAAAGTAAAATCTATAATGTAGCTAAATTCGTAGCGTTGAGCTCTCCTCCAAAGTTGAATCCATGAGGTTGGAAACTTCTCCGGCAAAGCTCATAGCTTTGGGCTCATTTCCAAAGCCGAAAGGTGAGCTATTTCTTAAGGCTAAATCCACGAGGTTGGGCTCTTCTACAAGATTGAACCCATGCGATTGGACTATTTCCTAAGCTAAGCCCATGGAGTTTTTACGCCTTCTAAAGTTTTCTAGACCCGTTAAATACGAGTTCATCAATTTCAATTGCAGTAATTGGAGGAGAGGTCATGCCCGTAGAGAAAGCCGGAAATTTGTGTGTTCTGTTTGATGTCTGGGCCCTGTATGGTGGAGTTGTTGCTGGTTGTATATCTGACAAATATGAAGCTCCAGTTAAAATAGCAGCCGGTTTCATGGCTGTTGCATTCCTTCAATCTTACTATACCAAAAGTTTGGAAAGGTCTTGCAGCTTGTGAACTCTACACTTATGGTGATCGCTGGCTTCTTCGTAGGTGGGTCGATTACTCTTAATCACAACTGCAGTCTCTGCTGAGCTTGGCACATATGGTTCCAATAGAAGGAATCCTCGCGCCCTGGCAACAACGACTACCATTATTGATGGCACTAGAACAATCGTTGCAATTTTTGGCCCTTATCTCACTGTGCTTATTCTTCCAACAGAGGGATGGAATGTAGTTTTAGCGATGCTTGCAGCTTGTTTTATCACTACACTGCATGTTTTAATGCCTTAAATTTCTGTATTAACAAGAGTGTTTGTTTTTATGGTTAAAAAAGGCTTTTGAAAATTTTTAAAATCTTCTTTTTTTTTGTTTCCAATTTTTTTTGTTTTTTAATAGTTTTAATATGTTGATAATAAAAATAAATTAAAAAAATATTATTTTGATACAAATTCAAATAAAAAATTATTTTAAAAAACAATTACTATTATAATTTTAAATATTATCTTGCCAATAAAGAAAAAGGCATAGACATTAAGGTGAGGCAATGATATGCACAAAAAACATGAGCAAAGACACATTATACCATTATTACTAACATATAAAATTGTATAGGTTTTTCATGTATATTTCTTGAAAGATAAAATTGTATTTTTATCAAGTTTTAAAAATAAAAAATAAATATCGTAACTAATTTATCTATTAAAATTTGATCAAAATATCAAGAATCTCACAACAACTATTTTGTTATTTGGAGTGTTAGGATTTAGTTGTAAACTTTAATATTTAAGAATATAAAATTACATAGTAAAGTATAACATAAGGTATTAAAGATACAAAATAAGATATAAATATAATGCTAAAATTAGAATCTTATAATGGTTAGGATTTAACATAAAAATGTAGAGACTTTTTCACAAAGAAAAATTTTTCTTAAACTGTAGATAAGACCAACAAATAAAAATAAGACTTAGATAACAATTAATAGATAATATAGCTAATCTTAGATAAGGTGCACTAGGGGTGATATATTCCTTGTACAACTATTTATTTTACCCAGACTCTCATAAACTATAAGTTTTCTAGTGACCATGATAACTAGATGATGACTCCTCTAATCATAGCTTTATAATTAAATCCTAAAACCCGTTATTCTAGAAGGCAGCTTTGCCATCTAACGTTGTGCATGTCACGATAATAAAATTATGTTTTTATCTCTTATATAATATTATATATTTGTTTAGTATGCATGCTAGTATTTTTGTTTTTATTACAAGTTTTTCTTGAAATATAATATTGCATACTTATAAACTAAACATTTTCAAAAATAGTTTAATAATTTTGACTTAGAAATTTAAGTTTTTTTTTCTTTATTTATTTTAGAGAAAGAGAAGACTAATTTATTCTTTATTTAAAGAAAATATTTGACCACCCCTCCTATTTGAAAGGTAAGTTGATGTATTTATTTAAGGATTTTTAGATATACGGCAAGTTTAGTTTTGATTTTTAGAATATCCAAGTATGGATTTAGAATATTGAATTATTGGATACAACTTTGCTTCTTCTTTTTTTCACTCTTTATTTTCTTACTCATTTTAATTTGTTTTCGCGCTCCATTTTTTCTCATCATTTCTTCTTTTTCTTCTTTTTTCTTTTTTTGGCTTACACTTGATGTTATTTTCTCTTTTTTTACCTCATATTGAAATAAAAAGAAAGCATGCAAAACACTAAAAAGATTAAAAAGTTCATAAAATAGCAAAACTTCAAAGAATTGAAGAAATTTTTATTTTTTAAAAAATATATTTTGAAAAAAAATATATTTTTCTTAAAAATATCTTTAAAAAATAGGAGATTGAAAATGATAATAATGAAAATGTTTAATGTTTAAATCATTAAACATTTGAACAGTTGAACGCTTGACTTGTCCACCAAGTTTGAACATTTAAATATTAAACATTTTTACAAATTTGATGACACGTAAACCTAACTTGTCTTCTGGTTGCTCCCTTGACTTGTCCACCAAGTTTTAACGTGTTTGACCCCGTAAACATCTTAATAAAAAAAAAGGTTGACCTTGTGAGCATGGGAAAGAATGAAACGAGTCTTAGAAAAGAATTGAGAAAAAAAAGAGGGTTTTTTTCTATTTGTTTCTTCATGTTTGGTTTGCCTGGATTTTCAAGAAAGATTTTAATAATGTGATATTCAAAGAAATGTGAATCAGTAAATATGAAGGTCTTGTAATAGAATCCTAACATAAAAAAGCTTAAATTAAATTGATATTTTTTTTAAAGTAATCTAAAAATCATATTCTCTATGTAAAAATAAGATGAGACATGCCCCATTTCAATCCAAGAGTTACTACTTGGAATTTTTTGTTATGGGTTTTTTTTTCTATTTAAATTATGAATTTCAATTTAATTAAGGTTTTACTAATGAGAATGCTTTTCTTGTATTTAAATAACTTTGTAGGCTATTTTTTCTAAAAGATATCCGAGTTTACTCTGTATCTCTATAAATTGAGGTTGGAATTTTAGAGTTTAAGAAATCTTAGTTTTCATTCACCATGTACACCATGTCAATTGATATAGAGTGTTTCTTTGATAGATAAAAATGATAGCAACCTATTTTGTGAGCCATCTAGGACATTATAAGAGCACACAAGGCAACAAATGATAAACAAAAATGATAACAACCCATTTTGTGAGCCATTTGGGAGATAGTTTGGAGTAAATATTGACAATAATTTCAAATAACTTAAGCATTATTTAGAAACTCAGTACAAACCGTATTCCATGAAAATTCAAAACTTTTTTTTTGCTTCAATTTTATTTTATTTTTTGTTTCGGATCGTTTAATGTTTTGATATCAAAAATAATTTTTTTAAAATAAA